AGTCCTAAACATTCAAAATGTACTAGTCAGAACAGGGCTTTGTGGCTGTTAGGTGAGCCACAGACTTCTGGAGTCAGCCTATCCCAGTTTGCCCGCGTCTGTGATACACAGGCATGCTTAGCAATGGCAGAATCCCTGTGCGGCCTTCTGAACACACGAGGAAAGGCTATTGTAGTTAAAAAAAAAAAAAAGGCCAAGCGGAAGCCTTTAAAACTGCTTCTAGCTACCAGGCCAGTAAACTACATGCCGCACCTCTCTCTGGAGATCAAGGTCAATTTCTATGTCTTGAGCTTCAACACCCGGATGATTCCTAAGAAGCTCCCTCTCGGCCTGCTTATTTGGTCTATGCAGACATATGGGTCTTAGCGAATGAAAGCAGTTTGATCATTGACGTATGGGTCAGTGGTAGAGCACTTCTGTGGACTGCACAAGGCCGTAGGTTCTGTCCCCAGAACAAAACAAAAACAAGGAAGGATGAGATTATGAAGTTAGTGCTCAGTACACCCTCTCCAGGTCAAGAAAATGAAGGCATTAGCCTGAACTCGACCACGGAAGCCTAGTCAGCCAGCAAGTCTGCCATAAACTATATTAGCAGGGCTGTTAAGGGCAGCTCCTCCCAAGGGGAGGGTTTGGTCTCTCCTTCGGATCACAACCTGCGGAGGCGCGTGCTCAAGGTGCAAGAACGGGCTATAAATAGCAGGGGTGCAGCAGTCATGAGTGTGGTTTTCTGTTGGTAGGGCGAGCTCGTGTGCAGATGCTTTCCACCCACCGTATATGCCTGCACGTCAAGTCCCTCTTCGGCGGCGTCTTCCGCACACCTTCTGGCCCCGCTCAGACATGCCTCTACTGCTTCTCCTCTCTGGCGTTTCCCTTCACTTTCTATCAACGTCAAGTTCTCTTTCCTCCCGCTCGGATAGATCTTGGTTCATAATTTCACTGTATCGATTAGGACTGTTTGGCTGAGAGAGAGAGAGAGCAGAGAGAGAGAGAGAGAGCCAGAGAGAGAGAGAGAGAGAGAGAGAGAGAGACAGACAGACAGACAGACAGACAGACAGAGAGACAGACAGACAGACAGACAGAGAGAGAGAGAGACTCTTAAACAGACTGAATAGGAATTCTATTAAAATAACTAACGAGCTGTTCTGTGGGACTCAAGTGCTGATAACTACACCTGAGGAGTTGATCTAGTGACAGGCTCTCCTCCTCAGCCTTCTCTTTCTTGCTCATTCTCCTGCTGAAAATCATTTTGAGGGGCATTCTAGTCCTCATGGCAAAAATCATGGCTGTCTCCTCAAGCTATCAAAGTTAGAAGTTTGTCAAAATCTGTGTTTTAGGGGGAATATTAAGTGGCCCCCTTGGTGTGGTGGGCAGTATGTTAGTCTCATAATATGAACTGGGAAATTACCTAGACTAATATAGGGTTTGTTTGGGTGGGGTGGACTATTTAATTGTTCAAAATGGCTACTACCTCTATGGATGAGGCTGGCGCAATTAGGGGTCTCGGGGACATGTGAGATGGTCTAAATGTCTCTTGGAGTTCCCATTTTTATCTGATTTCCCAGCAAGGACATGAGCTCTTCAAGGGCAGTGGTGACTCACTCATCTTTGTATTCTTTTGCCAAGAAACAAATATTTATTGAGGCATTTCTAACAGTTCTGTGGTCCTTAACTTACACGTTAGGCACATCTAAATGTCTGAATTAATGCATGCAGACTTACATGTTTAGACACCCTACCATACTATAAACACTGCCATAAAGATGTTACAATACAACACTGTAAAGTGGCTCTGTTTTCTGCCCATATCTTTTTTTCTTATCCTGAAGAGATTGCTCAGTAGTTAGAGGGCTTATTGCTCTTCTAGAGGATGCGAGTTTCTTCCTCAGTACCCATGTTGGGCCGCTCACAGCCATCTGTATCTTCAACTCCAAGGACCTGACACCTTTTCTGGCGACTGTACAAATAAAAATAAATCTTAAAAAAATAAGATGGAAGCAAGTGGGATGGCTTAGCAGGTAAAGGCACCTCACCACCAAACCTGACAGCGTGTGTTCAATCCCTGGAAGCCACAAGTTGGAAAGACAGAACCCACATAGTGGAGACAACTTAGATGTTGTCCACTGTCCACAAACCCCCAACCCCCCTCAACGCAATATAAATACATAAGTAAATAAATAAAGTGGGGACCAGTTGAAGAGAAGAACTAATATTGAACTCTGGTACACACACACACACACACACACACACACACACTACTGACATATACTGGACATCAAGGTACAGTACTGGTAACGGGTTGTTTTTTTGTTTGGGTTTTAGGCTTTCGCTTGGATTTTTCCAGTTCTGCAGCTATCCCCAGACTTATTGACCTTTTTAAGAAAGTCATAAAGGAAGGCCTGGGCCCCTGGGAGGCTTCAGTAAGCGCACACAGTTCTGCTTTCTTCGTAATGCTTATTTAAACTAAATTTTCTCAGCTTCAAATATCATACCACGTCTGCTTTCTTCTTTTTCTGAGCACTGCCAATCATATTTCCATTTTGAATGTGCAATTGTATGCAGTACCTATTGCAATTGTTTAATAAATTCGAAATGCACAAAAACATCCAATATATTTCTACCTTAGTATTCCTTTAGTTGAAGCCTCTCCTGAGTTGTTAATTGTTTTCAGGCTCAAAATAGTCCTATCCAATTTTGTCTTTCTTTTTTCAATTAAGTTATTCTTATATAAAAAGATTTTATTTATTGATTTTGAGGCCGGGTCACAGCATGTAGCACTTCATGGCCTGGAATTCACCATGTACACCATGCTGGCCTCAAACTTGAAGAGATTTGCTTGCTTCTGCCTCCTGAGTGCTGGGATTAGGATATGTGCCACCATGCCTGGCCCTAAAAACAGACTTTTAAAAACCCTAACGTCTGAGTGCTTGAGGTCACAGCCACTGTGAGTTCATGTGCGCAACAGCCCTGTTACATCAGCAAATGATGTCTCACTACAAGGGTTCACTACCTCTCATTCTTACATGCCCCTGCTTCGTCCTCAGTGATCTCTGAGCCTTTTGAGGAGAGGGGATGTAAAACAGACATTCCATTTACAGCTGAGCATTCCACAGTATCTGATTCCCTGTTTGCGAACAGGTTATGGGTTTCTGTATTAACCACCATCTACTCAAAAAGAGATTTCTTTGATGAGGGTTAAGAGATGCACTAATAGCCGGGCGTTGGTGGCACATGCCTTTAGTTCCAGCACTCATGAGGCAGAGGCAGGGGGATCTCTGTGAGTTCGAGACCAGCCTGGTCTACAAGAGCTAGTTCCAGACAGACTCCAAAGCTACAGAGATAAAAATTTAGATGGATGTTTAAAACTATGTCCGTTTAGTAGAATAACAGAATTTTTTAAGATATGATCTCACTGTATATCCCTGACTGACCTAGAACTCACTATGAAGACCAGGTTGGGCTTGAACTCACAGAGATCCACCTGCCCCTGCCTCCTAAATGCTGGGATTAAACTTTCTTTACCCTCTTTCCCACTCTTTCTGAAAACAGATTTTATCCCATTTCCTTCTACAGAACTCTCATTTCCAAATCAGTTCAACACAGACTCAGCAATCTGATAGCAAGTCCTTCTAGAATTTTAATTCAGTCTAACACATACTGGCATTAGTGGTGTTGTCTTGCGCTGCTAAGCCAAGCCACGAAAAGTGATACGCTTATTTTTCACCCAACACATGTATGCTTTTGTAAGTCCAAGCTTTGACAGCCTTCCTGTGTCGACCTGGATCTCACGTCCCCACTCTCTCGTTATTCTGGATCTCACCCTGCCCTAGTCATTCTGCAATTATTTTATTTCCACAATGGATTCTGAATTCTACTGAAACAAAATACCAGGGCTGGAGAGGTGACTCCGTTATTACCAGCACCTTCAGCTCCTATAGAGGACAGAAGTTCAGTTCCCAGCACTGACATTAGGTGGCTCACAGCTCTCTACTGTTCTAGTTCCAGGAGATCTGACACCCCTTTCTGGCCTCCATCAGCACCTACATGAATAGTGGTGCATATACATACACATATTTTTTTAAATCTCCTAAAGAAGTAAAATAAGACTCCACATTTAGCGAGCCCTCTGTATGTAAGTGATTTTCCTGCACCGTCTAACAGAGTCTAACTTGATCCTTCTATCAACATCTTAGGCGTCAGCTCTCCCCACTTAACGTTACACAAAGTGCAACTCAGAGAGAGCACGCTAATGATGGCAAAATTAGGCCCCTCCCCGAGATCAGGTTTTTATTACTTGTTGTAGCCAGTACGGTGTCCGGGATTCAATTAGTGCTCGTCCCATCTGCATGCTAAAAAACAGGTATGCTTGTAGACCGAGGTTCTGAGAAGGCTTGGATGGAGGGATTGAACGGTGATGACAGGAAGGCCAGGCTGATGAGGATGGTTTGAGACCTCCACCACCGAGTTATGAGGCTTTTTAAACGAGCGTTTAAAATATATGACTGCTAAACGGGATTACATCTATTCTTTATTCGCCAGTTAGTACCTGTCGCTTGTCTCTCTGATTTTCTTGATCCCTGGGGATCACCGTCATTCTTTTCCGTTTCCCACAGCGTCTAACGAATTGCTCAACATAGAGTGCATACTTGTTGATTTTAAAGTACGTGTGTCTGCATGTGTGCACAGCAACTGGGCAGACGACGTGGGTGTGGGACGCAGGGGTGCATTCCTTTCCCTCATTCTTTTCCCCTTAAGCAGCTGCAGCCCCGCAGGCTTTCCGTCTAGGCGGGGAGAAGCAGAACCACTGACCCTTTAACAAGTTGTCCCTCACAGAACAGGTGTCTCCCCCGCCTCTCGGAGGAGAGGGATGGCTGGCTGCTTAGTGACATCAGCCGCCGACCAATGAGAAGTCAGGCTTAGGCAGCCTGGCCAATGGCCGGCCAGGGGGCGGGGCCGATTTCCTGGGAGCCGGGCGGGCTAGGCTGCTCTGCGGCCACGGTGGAGTCTCCGCCGCTCACGCTGCCCGCCGCGACTCCAGCGGCGGCGCCGTTCCCCGGCCGCGCGGTTCCCCGACGCACGGCTCGGGCGGCTCCCGGTGCGGCGCGGCTGCCCCCGTGTTCGGGTCCCCGTGGGCCCGCGGCTCACGCCCCGGGCTGCGGGGCACGCAGGTGGGCCGGCGGCCGCTGGGAGATAGGCCCCCGGGGGCAGCGGCGGACCATGGCGCGGAGACCTGGCGCGCCCGCTGCCTACGGGGAGGAGTTCTCCTTCGTCAGTCCGCTGGTGAAATACCTGCTCTTTTTCTTCAACATGCTCTTCTGGGTGAGGCTCGGGGGGTCAAGGGGCACCGGGGCTGCAGGGCATCCCCAGAGCGCTTAGGGGGGCTTGCCTGTGGCTGGGGAGGGCCGGCCTGGGTTGTCCGGTGCCCTGGAGCACGGTGAGCGGTGCCGCCTAATTTTCTGGGCTGGTGACACTTCGGGGGAACATTTCTCCTGGCGAGGAACACCACAGTGGCGCCGTGTCAGGAGGGAACGTTAAGAGGGGCAACATCCATGCTGCCTGGGATGAAGGTTTAGCAGAGATGAGGATCTGTGTCAGGCCAAAAAGGATGTGTTTTGGAGAAGAACTGGCTGGACAGCCCCATGGGCACATTTCATGGTTAGGGACTTTCAGGCCTGGGTGCTGTAAGGCCTGACTGCCAAAACGGGGTGGGGGTGGGGGGGGAGAGGAGGAAGGGAAACCCCAAGCCTTCCCTCCTCCAAATCCTCAAGGGGATGGGTCAAGGGACCGGTCCTCCCCCTCTTGCAGGCCTCAGTGTCTGCTCCTGTAAAGGCTGAAAAGGGTTACGAATGGCCTCCAGGTCCGATGTGTAATCCTGCCTATCCCACAGTGGCCCTAAACTTTGCCCTACCTCCTTCAAGACCTTCCTCTTGAGGGCCGACAGTCTTCAGATAATTTAAAGAGGATCCTCTGTTGGGCTGGAAGGCGGGGGTCCTTGCATAATCTTCTGTTTGGGGATGGGAAAAGTGTCAACAATTTGACCTAGGGCTCCAGACACCTGGATTTCCTCCCCCACTCTGCCCATCCTTGTTGATTTGACCGATCTGGGTAAATCCATTCAAGTCCGCAGGCCTTCCCTCCCTGCCGAGAAAAATCCCATCCAGAGTAATGAGAGGCTGCAGAAGCAGGCTGGGAATTCTGGGGGAGCCCATCAGAAAATGCTAGCTGAGTCCTGTTTCATGGCTAGAGAGTGCTTGGGCCCCTTTGGATGTGAAAACATAAGGAAGTCCCCATTCTCCTGTCGGCTTCTAGCACACCGGAGCTGCAGCCAGAAAGCCTGTGTCTACCTCAGCCTGAGATGCATAGTTCAGATTTGCAGGAGGGAATGTATCGGGTCTAAGCTGTTACCTGGGGGAAGGAGCAGACCAGACGCGGAAGGCAGCTGCTGGAAAGGTTTCCCAGGGGCTGTGTTGTGAAGAGCAGCAGACAAACCTGCTTAAGTGCTAGCCTGTTGGGACAAACGAAAATCCCCGAGGGTGGTGGTGACAGCTCACTCTCAGCCACCATACTCTCTCTCGGGAAGATTCGAGTTTGGGCTTCTATCAAATTCTCGGTTTTAGAACTAGGGTAAAAAATTTAGCAGGCTGCCGGGCGTTGGTGGCGCACGCCTTTAATCCCAGCACTCGGGAGGCAGAGGCAGGCGGATCTCTGTGAGTTCGAGGCCAGGCTGGACCGACAGCCTCCAAAACAGAGAAACCCTGTCTCGTAAAACCAAAAACAAACAAAAAAAATTTAGCAGGCATCTTGTTAGACTTGCACATTTTGCACAGGAGAAAGCTGTATCACGATGGCCAGCATCTTCGCCAGGGTCCTGCAGCTGTTTGGCAGGCCTGGACTGATGGTCTTCTACTGAGTCGACATGCTTGTCCGGGAAGTCCAAGGGCTGTTACTATAGCCTGTGGGGTAATCAGTCAACTCAAGTCCTCATGGCCTAGGTTCTGCTTCCCTGGGAGGGTGGAAAACAAGAAAGCCCTTCATCTCCACACTGCAGGGCTGAGGGGGTGTGCTGAGGGGAACTCACCCCACAGGGGCAAGTACCAGTGAAACCACCTTCGGGTGGGGCCTCATTTGGTCTTTCAGCCAGGGTCTTGCTCCTGGTGCCTCTTCTGTCTCCCTCAGGGTCAGGGGCTGGCGTGTTGCATCTGTCGCTCTTGTGTTCAGGGACATTCTCTTGAACCGTTCTGCTCCACCGTATACCCCTTTGACCAAACAAATAACTTTGGGTGGTCACAGTACGGTAGAGAGCCAGGCTCACAGGCCCAATTACCTCGGTCAGACTGCTTTATCCACACACATGGATGACAAAGTGGATACGCATGACCCCGCCTAAAAACTAAAATAAACTAAAACAAAAAATGCTTCATTCAAAAGCAGATTAGAGCGGAACCCCCTTTTGGGCCTATTGCAGATGCAGAAAGTCGGTGACTCTAGAAATAGCACATGGAGGGACAAAAGGCCCAGTTTCTCTCTGGCACCCACTTGCTGTGTGACGCTAAGCCAGCGTATCTGTCTCTCTGTCCTTAATCTTTCTCCTCTAAAGGCGGAATTTGTCTATTTCTGTCAACTATATATAGATGAATAAATCACTTTGGGAACTGTTTTCTCTTTTTAAGATCCAAGACAGGATCTAAGCATGAATCTCTCAGTGTCTTGGTCCCTGGAACACTGGCCTCCCTGAGGGAGGGAGAAAGGGGTGGTACTTTTCAGGGGTTACTGGTTATCACCTCTCGCCCAGAGCCCCAGTTACAGCCCCCACCCATGCAGCTGTTGGGGAAGGCCACTTCTCCAACTTCTGGTGACTGGTGGACATTCAATATCCCTTGTAGGCTTCCACTATCCTAATAGAATTCCCCTTTTCTGCATGGAAAGCACCCATGGCTGGGACAGTTGGACCACTTTGCAGGCAGAGTGCATATCTGGGCAGTTCCTGGGAAGCTATGTAGGGGTGGTTTGTGTCTGTGCATGAGACACATTAGGGAGGTGACCAGCATCACCTGGGCTCACATTCAGGGGCCACATCTCCTGCTGCAGGAGCCCTGACATCAGGGCATCTGGAGTCTGGTTCGGAAGCCTGAGGCCTCCCTTGGAATCAGAATCAGTCCCTCCTATTTATGTTTCAAATCTCATTTCCTCTTTGGCCTGGAAGCTCTGGTTTTCTCCCCAGAATCAGGTTGCTGGGCGACTGATTGTTGCGTTTCCATGGCCCGAAGTAACTGCTCCAAGATCCTAGAAGTTGTTTTTAAAACTCTTTAGAAGTAACTGCCTTTTCCCACCTCCCTGCGTTGGTCACCTCTGCACAGAGTTAGGACGATGATACGGGGAAACTGTTATTAGCCCCAGGCACCTGTTGGAGTTATCTGTGCTGCCCTGCTCCTCCAGCCCTTATCTCCACTCAGGGCAGCAGCTGAGGTGCTTTTGAGTCGAGCAAGCACCAGAAGCTCAGGCATTCAGCCTTCCTTCTCACCCAGGCTTCTTGGGTGGCTGTGTCTCTGGATTCTGGGTGGCTGTGTCTCTGGATTCTGGGTGGCTGTGTCTCTGGATTCTGGGTGGCTGTGTCTCTGGATTCTGGGTGGCTGTGTCTCTGGATTTACTTGCTGCCTTCTCTCCCTTCCCTGTACTGCAGTCACGTGCTCATTTATCCTCTCCCCATCTAGACCCCAGGCTCCTGAGGGTAGAGACTGCCTTGTTCCATTCTGGATTCTTTTGAGGGGGCAGTTTAGAGACAGGGTTTCTTTGCCCTGGCTGTCCTGGAACTCACTCTGTAGACCAGACTGGTCTAGAACTCACAGACATCCTCCTGCCTCTGCCTTCCAAGTGCTGGGATCAAAGGTGTGCGCCACCACCACCAGCCCAATTCTGGATTCTTTCTACCTGGGGGCAGGAGTAGACGTTGATCGAATGCTTGTTGCTTGAGAGAACAAAGCTTCCTGGGTAGAGGCATAATGTCCTTTCTCCCTCCTTCATATACCTGTTCTGTGAAACTGTAACCCAGCCTTGCCTGCCTGACACCCCTCCCTCAAGCCAGGTCAGACAAAAATGACAGCCACCCCTCTTTAGAGCCACATGTGGTTGACACCCCCAGCATCTGGATTTCTTCTCTTTGTCTGTGACACATTTGGACTCCATTCAGGTCTACCCTAGGCTAATCCCAGCCACTGGTGAGGAAATTTAGAAAAAAAAATTAGAGCCAGGTGATGCACACCTTTAACCCCAGCACTCAGGAGGCAGATGCAGGCAAATTTCTGTGAGTTCAAGGCCAGCCAGGTCTACAGAGCAAGTTCCAGAACAGCTAGGGATACACGGAGGAACCCTGTCTCAAAAAACAAACAAAAATTAGACAAAGGCATGTGTTGTAGCATCATAAGCTCTCAAATTTGAAAAGAAGACAGTGTAGTCTTCTGAGTTAGAACAGAGATGGGGATAAGGTTAACATGTTTATTACTTTACACTTCAGACCATGCTCCATAGAATTGTAGTTGCATTGTAAGTATTGACCTGATGCTGCTTTGGTATCAAGATACCATTTTTTACTATGGGGCAGCATGGGCCATTGCACAGCCTAGAGAAGGCTTAGGAGATCTCTTTACTTTTGGACCCTAGTTAGATAGATGATGATGCATGTTGTTTCAAAAACCCTTTGGAATAAATGTCATGATTTGGATGAAGAAGAAGTAGCACCCATTGCAGTCTACTCCCTGCCCCCTGACCTGTTTTATTTTTTATTTCATTTTTTTTAGTCCCCCAGGCACTGAGAATTATCCCAGACCACCGTGGAACTGCCTCAGAAGCCAGGAGGAGGTGACCAGACCTCAAACCTGACAAAACCCCTGTAGTGCTGGAAAGGTCTTCTCATCTCTCCTGATACACTTTCCCAAATACCTTAGCAGCTCACCTCTTTTCTCCTGCATTCCTGAAGCTCACAGGCTAGAAGCAATCATATTCTGGTTCTGTTTTGTCTTTTAGACAGACTAACCTTAAACTCATTGTGTAGCCAAGTCTAGCCTTGAACTTCTGACCCTCCTGCCTCTGTGCTGAGTGCTGAGGTTACACACATGCTTGTGCCGCTGAGTAGCCCCTTTCTGATTTTTTCTTTTTTTAATTTAATTTTATTTTTGAGACAGGATTTCTCTGTGTGGTCCTGGCAGCTGCCCTGGATATATCCTCTCTTCTCTGTCTTTACCTCCTTTGTGTATGTGTGAGTACCTCAGGTGTCACCTCCTGCCTTGTTTGAGCCTGGGTCTCCTAATGCTGCCTTGCTAGGG